TAATCACTTCTCATGCAAGATGAGAATACAAAGGGAAATCCATGTCAGTTCCCAATTTCCAACAGATGGTGTTTCTTTCATGGTGAAGAATCAAGGACCTCAGAGTTATCAGAACCCTGCAGCATCTCATTTTCCACAGCAGAAGAATGGAAATACTTCTTATAAAGGAAATCTTGCACACAAAGGAAAGAAAAACACACAGATGTGCTCCTATTGTAAGATGACTAATCACACAATTGATAATTGTTACAGACTTGTGGGATTTCCTGCTGATTTCAAATTTACTAAAAACAAAAGGGTTCAAAATCCTCCAAAAGGAAATTCAGCCACTGTAGTAGAAGATACAGGGGAAATTCGTAGCAACATGGCAGAAGGACCTCAATTTTCTCAGAAGCTCTCATCTGATCAGTTCAGTCAATTAGTTAATCTGCTGAATCAACTACAAACAGGACAGGGAGCTTCTCAAGAGGTTAATGCAAATTCTGCTTCTGGTATATTGTTTACTAATTCTCCATCCTGTTATTCAGTTTCTAATTCTAATCTTTCCAACTCTTGGATTATAGATTCAGGGGCAACTGAGCATATGTGTTTTAATGCCAACACATTCTTATTCTTCGTACCATTGCCTTCTCCTCTAATGGTAAAATTACCTAATTCTTCTAGGGTAAAGGTCACTCATGCTGGTAGTGTTTCTATCTTTCCAGGTCTAGTTCTGGAAAATGTTCTTCATATTCCTAGTTTCAAGTATAACTTACTCTCAGTTTGTAGGCTTTGTCAAAGATTCAAATGTCTCTTAGTTTTCACTTCTTTTGGATGTATTTTGCAGGGCCCTCTCATGAAGAGCCCTCAAGTTTTTGGTGAAGCTAAGGAGGGACTTTACTTATTGGAGCCTAGTGTCACAGAACCTAGAACTTTGTCTTCTAAAACTGTTACATCTTTTTCTAATTCAGTTTCAGCTAATAGATTGTTGCCTGCAACTTTTTCTAATTCAGTTTCAGCTTCTTTTCCTTTTCCTATTTTAGCAAAAACAGAATCTGATGTAAAACTCTGGCATGTAAGATTGGGGCATTTGCCTTTCAATGCAATGAAATATATCAATTCCATTTCATCTGTTTCTGATTCTGTGTGTCATTGTGATGTTTGCCCATTAGCAAGACAGTCTAGATTACCATTTTCACTCAGTCATATCAAAACTAAGCAACCTTTTGAATTAATACACATTGACACATGGGGTCCTTATAGGACTTCTACTCATAATGGATACAAGTATTTTCTCACTATTGTGGATGATTTCAGTAGAGCAACTTGGACTTATCTACTGAGCACAAAGGGTAGTTCATTTTCAGTTCTAAAATATTTTTTGAGCATGGTGGACAGACAATTTAACACTAAGGTCAAGGTTATCAGGTCAGATAATGCTTTGGAGTTGGGAAGCAGCACTGCAGCTTCCTTGTTCTTATTATCACAAGGCATTTTACATCAGACTTCATGTGTGGGAACTTCTCAGCAAAATGGGATTGTGGAGAGGAAACATAGACATTTGTTAGAAATTGCTAGAGCTCTACTCTTTCAATCCAAGGTGCCTCTTTGTTATTGGGGAGAATGCATTCTAACAGCTACATTTCTCATCAACAGATTTCCCTCTAGAGTGCTCAAAGGACACACTCCCTATCATTTGCTGTTTGGTAAGGCACCCTCCTATTCTTTCTTAAGAAGTTTTGGTTGTCTTTGTTATGCCTCTAGATTTTCACACAACAGAGGGAAGTTTGATCCTAGGGCCACAGCATGTGTATTCATGGGATATCCTAATGGTCAAAAAGGATATAAATTATTGAACCTCACCACCAGGAATTTCTTTGTCTCCAGGGATGTTCATTTCATTGAACACATCTTTCCCTTTTCCCATATGTGTGAAGATAATCCCTCTATATATCCTGGTCCTACATTCCCTATACCTCCTTTCACCTCTGATGCTCCCACACAACATAACTCCACTGAACCACAAGATTGCTCTACACCTGATTCTTCACCTAGTTCTTCTTCTCACCAGACTACTCCCTCTCCTATTTCTTCTACCTCACCTATCCCTCCTTCCCATCCTGTTCCTCTTAGGAGATCTAGTAGAGATAATATAGGGACTCTACCTAGTTATCTTAAGGATTATGTTTGCAACAACATATTTCTCACTGATGTCACCACTTCTTGTCTCACCTCTCCTTGTTCCCCATCTCCCTTTGCTTTATCTGCCCTCACTAGCTCTAATCAACACCTCCTCAAATCAGTCTCTTCTATTACAGAACCCACCTCCTACTCTCTGGCTTGTACTAACCCAGGTTGGGTGCAAGCTATGAACTCAGAACTTAAGGCTTTAGAAGAGAATCTTACTTGGGATGTGGTTCTACTGTGGTTCTACTGCCTACTGGGAAAAAGGCATTACCCTGTAAG